TATTTATTTTTATTGGAAAGGCAGATTTTACAGAGAGAAGGAAGGACAGCTCTTCCATCTGCTGGTTCACTACTCAAGTGGCCACAAAGACCAGAGCTGAGCCGATCTGAAGCCAGGAACCAGGAGCTTCTTCCAGGTCTCCTGTGTTGGGGTGCAGGGTCCCAAGGTTTTGGGCCTCTCCTCTGCTGCTTTCCCAGGCTATAAGCACGTGGCAACAAGTGAAGTGGAGTAGCTGGGACACAAACTGATGCCCATATGGGATTCCAGCACTTGCAAGGGAGGATTAACCAATTGAGCCATCTTGCTAGGCCCCATTTTACTTTTGGTAATTTGAGATTTGTTTCCTATTTCTTCTTTTAGTTTTTCAGGCAGTTACAGATCTTCTATCTAGGAATTCTCTTCTGACACCTGCAATAGCAAGTACTGAGGGAAGTTGAAGACAGGAGCCCAGAACTCTTTTTGGATCTTCCTCATAGGTGGTAGGGATTCAGATACTTGAGCCATAACCATCTGCCTTCTAGAGTGTGCATTAGCAGGAAACTGGGATTGGAGGCAGAAATTGCAATGAAACCCAGGCACACAGATAGGATGTGTGGACTTATTTTTTTTTTTAAGATTTATTTCATTTTTATTGGAAAGTCAGATATACAGAGAGGAGAGACAGAGAGGAAGATCTTCTGTCCAATGATTCACTCCCCAAGTGAGTGCAACGGCCAATGCTATGCCGATCCGAAGCCAGGAGGCAGGAACTTCTTCCAGGTCTCCCATACGGGTGCAGAGTCCCAAAGCTTTGGGCCGTCCTCGACTGCTTTCCCGGGCCACAAGCAGGGAGCTGGATGGGAAGTGGAGCTGCCAGGATTAGAACCGGCGCCCATATGGGATCCTGGTGCGTTCAAGGCGAGGACTTTAGCCGCTAGGCCACACCGCTGGGCCCCGATGTGTGGACTTATTAAGTGTAATTGTAACCACTGTGCCACTTGCTTTCCCATGATTTGCTAATTTCAAGATATATTAGCAATATTTTTTTTGTGATTACGGTCATCAGAATGACAAGGACTTAGTGATGAATCAGATAGTATAACGAGGGCCTTATATTCATTTTCTCATTCAATCCCTACAGTGACTCTGTGACATAAACACTATCATTAATGACATTTTCTGATGAGAAAATTGACACTTAAAGAGGTTTTGAGTGTGACCGAAACCTTCATAAGCACTGATTGAATATGGGACATTAACCTCGGTCTGAGTCTGAAGCAACTTCTTTTAGCTTCAGTAGTTACATTCGTCTGTCTTTAGAATTCAGCTGTGTTGGGCTAATAGTAGTCGTAAATGTGGATTGAGTATTTCTTAATCCCAAAACTATTCTAAGTTCTTAACATGTATTTTTCCATTTACTTTGTACCCTAGCTTTATGAGGCAGTGCTGCTGTTTCTTTTCATTTTATCAATGAGAAACAAGTTACAAAGATAATGACTTAGAAAAACTATCCTTCATTTGTTAGTGGGAATGCAAAATGATACAGCCACTTAAAAAAAAAAGGTTATTTAATTGGTTACTTGAAAATCAGAGTTAGGGGTGGCAGGAGGGAGAGAGAGAAATTGATTTATTGATTGCTTTCCATGTGCTGGTTCTCTCCCTGCTGGGGCTGGACTGTTTTGAAGCCAGCAGCTTAATGCATGTCTCCCACATGGGTGCAGGGGCCCAAGCACTTGGGCCGTTCTTCACTGCCTTCCCGTTACGTTATCAGAGAACTGAATTGAAAGTGGAGCAGCTGGGACTCAAACCAGCATTGTTGCGGGAGAAGGCTTAACGTGCTGCACTACAGTGGTGCAGAAGACAGTCTGTCAGTTTAGTTGTATGGAGAATAGAAAAGTGATTATTTTGGCAGTTTTAGTAGGCTGACTACATGTGTATTTTGGTATATGATCTGTTTCATTATAAGTAATGTTTGCAGATGCAAGCTTCATTTTTTTTAAAAGACATGTGTATGAAAGGAAGAATAATGAGGGAACAGACAGTTCTTTGATCCACTGGTTTACTCCCTGAATTGTTTTAATGGCTGGGACTGTGCCAAGCTGTAGCCAGGAGCCAGGAACTTCATCTAGTTTTCCATATGGGCGCAGGGACCCAAACATTTGAGTTATTTTCTGTTTCTTTCCCCAGGTGCATTAGTAGGGAGCGTATTGGAGGTGGAACAGCTTGGATTCCAACTGGCTCCATATGGGGTACTGGCGGTACAGGTGTGGCTTTAACCTATTGTGCCACAGTGCCAGCCTTCCTTTGCTTCTTAAAAGCAAATATTTAAAGCACGATGAAAGTTCTATCTATATGCTTTGAAGTCTCTGCTTTGCAATTTAAAATATTTAAATGTCTTGTAACTATTATGGTATCTGGTGATATGGACAATTTCTAGATAAAATAATGCAACTATTACAAATGTGCTTATATACAAAAGATAGTTCAAACTGTTCATAGAAAATGGAATTTAAAGATTTTTATTTTGGTGCAAAAAATTGAAGTCCTTTTGGTTTTTCATAGTATGCATTTTCTGTGAACTTTATGAACACTTTTGCCTGGATTTCAGAACTTTTGTAATATAATTAACTTGCTTTTAAACTATTTTTCTTGAACTTACAAATAATGTCCATTGTTTATACCAGATATTCTTTATAATTTGTTGAATTTATTTTACTCAGACCTAGTATTAATATTACTTGAAGTATCTTAAAGTGAATTTTTTAAGTTTTTTTTTTTTTTATTGGAAAGGCAGATTTAAAGAGAGAAGGAAAGACAGAATGATTTTCCACTTACTGGTTTACTCCCGAAATGTCCACATTGGCCTAAATTGAGCCAATCTGGAGCAGGAACCAGGAGCCAGCAGCTTCTACTGGGTCTTCCACATGGGTGCAGGGCCCCGCCCAAGGCTTTGGACTATTTTCCACTGCCTCCCTAGGCCATAAGCAAGGAGCTGGATAAGAAGCAGAGAAGCCAGGACTTGAATCAGCACCCATACGGGGTGCCAGCCTTTGCAGGTAGAGGATTAACCAGTTGAACTATTGTGCCAGTCCCAAATGAATTAATCTTAAGGTGAATTACTTGAATTATTCCAGAAGTAGAATTGGTTGGATCATTTAATGCAAAACTAGACCAAACTTAACAGTTAGAATTTTATTTGATATTTAATTCTAGAGTTCTTACAAAGTGTAATTTCTAAGTAGAAATAAGAGACTGCATTCTATCTTGGTCTTGCTAATCCATGATAATGTTTTAGAGATTGAAAGTTTTAAATTATAGGACCTGGCACGGTAGCCTAGCGGCTGAAATCCTTGTTTTGCATGTACCAGGATCCCATTTGGGCGCCGATTCTAATCCTGGCAGCTCTGATTCCCATCCAGCTCTCTGTTTGTGGCCTGGGAAAGCAGTCAGGATGGCTCAAGGTCTTGGGACCCTGCACTCATGTGGGAGACCCGGAGGAAGAACCTGGCTCCAGGCCTTGGGATTGGCTCAGCTTTGACTGTCACAGGCGCTTGGGGAGTGAACCAGTGGATGGAAGATCTTCCTCTCTGTCTCTCTTCCTCTCTGTATATCTGCCTTTCCAATAAAAATAAATCTTTTTTTTAAAGTTTCAAATTATAAGTGGGGCTTTTTTTTTGTGAGAAAGTAAACAGGACAAATGAATGCTACTACCCATAGATGCTTGATATGTATTCCTAGATATCTTTCTATGTTACATAACCAAATTTAGATCAAGCAGACTCCTTCTCTCTGGTCTTTTGCTTCACTCTCGACTATTTTACCTTAGAGCTTCAGATGCATGGATAGCTTATATTTAGGACTGTCAGTAAGTACTTCCCAACCATTTTGAGCTGTGTGCTTATCACTGGGACTTGTCCAACTAGACCACAGTGTTCAACAGAGTAGGCTTTATGTCTATCTTAGTGTGCATACTTAATATTTGAATGAATAATAATATGAAAATAGATTCACAATATGTCTGGATTAAGTTCTCTGGAAACAAACGTAAGATGCACAGCTCTGGCCTTTAGTGGCTTACAGTCTAGAGGAAAAGTAGCCCATTAACAAAGGTAGGAACAGAGTATGGTAGAGGAGTCTACTGTTGGGAGCCTGCGGCACGAGGGGCTGTCCAGGTTGGAGACAGGGGAGAAGTTGTTAGAGAAGGGTTTTTAAAAGAGTAGCAGTGTTAAGTACTTGTAACCTGTAATTGTTTTGATCTATAAAATAATTTATAGTGGATGGGGTAATATTTTATAGTGTGCAACTACTAGAGTTTAGCCTTCTGCTATTACGCATTTATGGAATTCTAAGATTTTGTTTTAAATAGCAGTGATTGTGAGAACTTTATCCATCTTTGAATATTTTCTTAGGTAACTCTCACTTGGAAGTAGAATTTCTGGGTTCTTTTAACAATTTTCAAGGCTTTTGATGCATACCTCTGAATTGCTGTCTGTCCATGGAAATTGTATCTCTTTTTACTTTCAGCAGCAGTATATGAAAATGTCCAAAAGTCCAAATATCCATGATAGGCAAGGATAGCATTTTAGGGCTTATTTTGCCTTTGCTTAATCCATGTGTATGAACTATAACAGTTTATAGACTGGTAGCAAAATATGACTAGCTTCTTTAATATAAATTTACAGTGATTGCTAAGTGAATGTTTCAAATGTTATGGCCTATGTGGAATATCTTGGTTATTTCCTCTAATTTTTATTGTATGCCTTTTTTTGTGTGTGTGTTTACCCTTGAGTCATCTACTTTTAAACATAATCTTCTATCTAGAATGCTCTTGTATTAAGAATGCTCTTGTATACAGAATGATCTTGTATATGATCTTTGTGTCAGTTTCTAAAGATACAAGTTTTAATGGCAAGTTCTGAGAAATTAAAAATAGACTGTATAATTTGAGAACGAGAACCTTAAGAAGCTTGTATGTTGACCCTAGTCCTAGCAACTAACTTGTTTTTAATTATTGTGGCCAGAAACACCAGATGAAAATGGTAAAACCCAGAGAGCTGATGATTTTGTCTTGAAGAAAATAAAGAAGAAAAAGAAAAAGAAACACCGGGAAGACATGCGAGGAAGACGTCTTAAAATGTACAATAAGGAAGTACAAACAGTCTGTGCTGGCCTGACTCGCATCAGTAAGGAAGTTCTCTCCCAAGGACAACTCGGTAGCACTTCAGGAGTTAATAAGGAATCCTTCAGGTATCTGAAAGATGAACAGCTATGCCGATTAAATTTGGGCATGCAAGAATATCGGGTACCCCAGGGAGTACAAACACCTTTTGTGACTCACCAGGAACATTCTATTCGTAGGAATTTTTTAAAAACAGGTACTAAATTTAGCAACTTTATTCATGAGGAGCACCAGTCCAATGGTGGTGCTCTTGTCCTTCATGCTTACATGGATGAACTCTCATTTTTGTCTCCAATGGAGATGGAGAGATTTTCTGAGGAGTTTCTTGCTTTGACATTCAGCGAAAATGAGAAAAATGCTGCTTACTATGCTTTAGCAATAGTGCATGGAGCGGCCGCTTATCTCCCAGACTTCTTGGACTACTTTGCTTTTAATTTTCCCAACACTCCAGTGAAAATGGAAATTCTGGGCAAGAAAGATATTGAAACAACCACGATTTCAAATTTCCACACTCAGGTAAGGTTAAAATTGTTGTTTAACTATTTAGTAAACACAGTATCTGAACAGTATTGACCTCATTCTATTGCATAGTTCATACCAGCACACTGTGATCAAAATTCATGCTGCTAAAGATGCTGCAGATAGTTTGTGTATTTGTCCCATTGCAGTCGCGCAGTTCTTTGGAGTGGGGCTTTATACATGTTATGTATCATTTGCAAGTCTCTATTGGCAAACCAGCTTGAAAACTAATAGTCTTTCATGAGTCAGGTAATGGTAGTATGGAAGATGTGGTTTAGATCTGGTAACCTCAAGGTAACTTTAAGACTTCAGTTTATTGTCATAATAAAAACATGTGAGGGTGTTGGCCTGCGTATCTTCTGGGTTTTTGCTGTTCGTTGTTTCTCTTCTTTCAGCAATTCGTTGGCAGATCTGTCCTAGAAATATACCCCATTATGTTACACGGGAGTGTCCCTGGGAAGACTGCCACAGCTGTGCTCCTTGTGCCTGTGCACTGTTGTAGGTAAAGATACTTCTGAAGCCTCGCTTGGGCAGCTAGGCTTAAGTCAGCAGGGAACCGTCTCCTTCCTAACCAGTATTTAACCAGACTTTTTTTTTTTTTTTTCATTAAAGTTGTATTAGGGCATAAAAAGAGCATGATACTGTGTCCTAGTTTTCTTTCTTGCTTGCTTTTCTCGTAAGGATTGTGGTTACGGATGGTAGGCTCTAAGTTTCTACTGTATATGTTATAAATTTTTAGTGGAGACTATTTCACTTTTTAGCGATTTATGACCATGTGTCCTGTTTTTCAGATTATGTAGTAATTTGCTGCCATTCTTTTCCCTTAAGGTTTTTTCCCCCCTTTTTTTAGGATAGACTGTTGCATAATAAGACTCTCAGCTGCTTACATTAGAGTGGTTTTATGCCACTTGGATTTATTTGAAATCTCTGACTTGAATCTTTTTAGCGAGTCTTACCATCCTTGCCTCCGGTGAGGGGAGAAGCCAGTGTAGATTTACGAGCTTCAGAATTTCTCTAATTGAAGTTCTCTCTGCAGTAGAGAGAGCAGGAGCAGCCAATCTGGAGAGGTCGCAAGATGGGCCTGCCCAAGACGATGGAACACGATGTGCAATAAAGGGCTTCGTCTTGGATTTTGGCCTTGTTACCACAATCAGGTACTGAAGTGCTGACTTTTGTAGTAGATTTTCTTTTTTCCTTTTCTTTTTTTAAAAAAGGAGTTTTACCTTTGGAAGGTTAAGGAGTCCTATTTTTATAAATACTGCAAAAGAAACAAAACGATTTTCCTTTAATTCCCCTGTGTCCCTAGTTAACAAGGAAAGATACTGCTGAGAGCAGAGGTAACATACCTTGTCACTTTTTTAGTTTAAAAAAATGCAGCAAATTTCTCTTCTGATTTGGCAGACCAGCAAGTGGATCTGAGAAATAAACCAGAAATTTGTTGGGAGAAACGTCCTGGCTTTGTAAGAGTCACATTTTAACTTTCATGTTAATAGATAAAGTTAGTATGTCAATAGACATACATCTGAACAGTTTTTTTTAAAAATAGTTTTTAAAATATCTTGAATATTCCCTGCTGATTTTTGTCCTCCAACTAATTCTTTAAATGGAGCTGAAATTTTAATGGCTGTACCAACAACTTACCTTGAGATTTACTTTGAGATTTCTAAATACCACTTTGAAAGAAATCATCAGATTGTTACTAAATTAAATATTAAATAGGACAGTCACATAAAGATATTGAGGACTAGTGGACAAGTCTTATGGTCTGGTGGTCCTGGAACTTAATTTCAATTTAGATTTTCAGTATTGTATAGAAGTGTGGTATTGATGTAGGAGGTTAAATTAGCCCCATGAAACTTTAACTTAAATTTATACCTGTAAACTCTGGGGAAATGTTGATATCTCAACTAACAGTTACTTCATATTTACTTAGTACTTCATGGATTATGGAAATGCCTTCACATTCACATATAAATATTTTAGAACAGTTGGGGGATAGATAAGCAATTTTGTCTCTGTCATTGAAGAAGCGGAGAATTACAGATGTTCATTATCCAAGGTCACATTGCTAGTAAGTAGAAGAGTGACGATGCGAGCCTAGGCACCTGAGCATTATCAAATCATTTTGCTGTGCGTGTTCCCTGCTTTAGTCATTGGAGAAGAGGTTAGTGCTTTCATGTGTTGGTGGAATTAAACGATCTCCATTTAAAACAGTATACAAAAGGCTTTGTTTCTAATGTCTTTTAACAAATGCCTTTAGATTATTAGGAATTAAGTGAATGCCTAGTGTATTTTAGACTTTTTTGTCTTGTGAAGCCTTGTACAATTTGGTAGACCTAAATAAATTTTAGAGTTACAGTTATTAAAAGTTACTTATACTTTATTGTGGACAGGGAAGTTCCTGTAAGACTCATTGATGAGATCATTTTAGCAAGATAGATGAACAAACTAGCAGATCTAGTACAGTTTAAGGACTAGAAAGAGACAGCAGGAGTCTGGGAGGGGTTACCTCACACTCAGGATTAGAAGCAGCATTTTGTTTTCAAGATTAAAAAAATTTTAAAAGCATTTTTATTGGAAAGTCAGGTATACAGAGAGGAGGAGAGACAGAAAGGAAGATCTTCTGTCCGTTGATTCACTCCCCATGCAACCATAATGGCCAGAGCTGAACCAACCCAAAGCCAGGAGCCAGGAGTCTGGAGCCTCTTCCGGGTCTCCCATGTGGGTGCACGGTCCCAAGGCTTTGGGCTGTCTTCGACTGCTTTCCCAGGCCACAAGCAGGAAACTGTATGGGAAGCAGGACAGCCAGGATTAGAACCACTAGGCTACCACGCTGGGCCCAATTTTAATGATTATTTTGAAAGTATTACAGCGAAAGAGAGAGTCTTCTATCACTAGGTCAGGCTCCTCCTCTGCTCCACCCCTGTCAAGTTGGCTACAGTGTCCAGTGTTGGGCCAGGCTAGGAGCCTGGAACCAGGAGCTTCATCCAGGTCTCCTATGTAGGTGACAGAGGCCCAAACACTTGGAGGATCCTTAAATGTTTTTCCCAGGCCACCAATAGGGAACTAGATTGCACAAACTGATAACTCATGAAGGATGATGCTGGAGCTGTAAAGAGGGAGGAGAGGAAGATACACACCACCTCCCCCTTTCCTTCACTGGTTCACTTCGTAAATGGCTACAGTGCTGGGGCTGGACCACACCAAAGCCTGTAGAAGCCTGGAACTCTAGATCTTTTGCATTGTTGATAGCACTCAGGCTGTTCTCTCTGCTGCTTTCCCAGATGTGTTGGCAGTGGTGCAAACCAGGACTTGAGATGGCTCTCATAGTGGGTGCTGGTGTCAGAGCTGGTGACTTAACTTGCTGTGTTACAATACCAGCCACTTCAGTAGAATCTTGAAGGCAGATTAATACATAACTTGATAAGGGTATTTTAAGCACAGGAGAAATACAGCCTATGCAAATTTGAGGCATGTGAGAATATTCTGTTTTCAGGGAGCAGCAAATATGCTATCATGTCTGCCTGTGGCTCATTGTTAAGGATTTCAGAGAGAGAAGGGAGTTCAGAGAGAGATTCGGAGAGGGAATTCACAGAGAGAAGGAAAATCAAAATTGTGAAGAACTTCACATGTTATACTGCAAAAAATAATAATAAAATAAGTAAATAAAAATTAGTTTTTTTTTTCCAAGTAGTAGGGAGTTACTAGTGAATATTACCAGGTAAGTATTGAGCAATTTATATTTGCCAGTGTTGCATGGTGTTATGGAAAATGTAAGCAAGTTGGGTAGAAATGAAATGAGAATGTTGGTAAAGTTACTATAGTAAACAGATCAGTAGTGATCCGTGTCCAAATTGATATTCTCTTATTATTATTAATTTTTTTTTTTTTTGGAAAAGTTTGATTTACTTGTTTGTTTATTTGAAAGGCAAAGAGAGAAAGTGTGTACCATCAAGTAATGTTGTCTGTGTGCATGGCTGCCGCAGCTGGGGCTGAGCAGGAACCAGGAAGTCCTTGTGGGTCTTCTGTGTCGGTGGTTGGAGCCCAAACACTTGAGAGAGTGCTTTTTCAAGTCTCATTAGCAACAAGATGGATCCAAAGCAGAGCAGTGGAACTTAAGTTGTATGCTGGTGTCAGAAGCAATGGCTTCACCCACTCTGCCACAATGCCTGCTCTTCAAACTGGTATTGACACTAAGATAAGAGGAAAGAGGTAGTTGGGTGATGGAGAGTAACTGGACTTGGTGAAGGACAGGAATATCATCATCTTTTGTTTTTTTTAAGATTTATTTTATTTTTTTATTGGCAAAGCAGATATACAGAGAGAAAGCTCTTCCATTCACTGGCTCCTTCCCCATAGCTGGAACGGCCAGAGCTGAGCTTACCCAAAGCCAGGAGCCAGGAGATTCTTCCAGGTTTCCCATGTGAGTGCAGGATCCCAAGGCTTTGGGTCATCCTTGACTGCTTTTTCAGACCACACACAGGGAGCTTGAAGGGAAGTGGAGCAGCCAAGACAGGAACTGGCACCCATATGGAATCCTGGCGGATGAACGATGAGGATTTAGCCACTAGGCTATCACGCCCGGCTCAAGGATAGTCTTAGGAATCGTTCTAGACAGTGGGGCGGTGGTGGTGGTCAGGCAATACAGGCTTGGAAAAGCTGGTTTCTTGCAGGTGGAAGATGTTGATGAGTTCAGTTTATGGTTTTTGTTTGTTTAAGATTTATTTATTATTTTGAAAGGCAGAAAGAGTAATGGGAGGAGAGAGATTTTCCATTGGCTGATTCACTTTTCAAATAGTTGCAACAGCTGGGCCTGGCTGAATCCAGGAGCTAGAAGCTCTATCCATGTCTTCCAAATGGGGTCAGGGGCACAGGCACTTTAGCCATAAACTGCTGCTTTCCCATGAACATTATCAGGAAACTGGATTAGAAACAGCTGGCACTTGAACTGGTTGGCACTCTGATATGAAATGCTGGCACCACAGGCAGCAGCTTAA